TATCCTTCTTTACCTTAAACAGCCAGGGGACCATTGTTCTTTTACCTTGGATAAACTAGAGGTTTAGTGCTTCAGGAAATTTAATATGAGAGTTTCAGTCATAGCCAAAGTTGGGATGTCTTTATTTAAAATAAGGACACAAAGGGACCAGCTGGTGGCATGGTTGTTAAGGCGCTGGACACTCCCACGTGGTCAACTGCAGTTTGAGTCCTGAATCTGCTTGCTTTCTCTCTTCCTCTATCTTGCTCTCTCTCTCTCTCTGTCTCTCTCTGGTCAAATTAAAATAAATGAATTAATAAAGTTAAATAAATAATTAAAAAAAATAAAATAGGGACACAATTATTTGTAAAGCAGGGACTAAGCAGAAGTCTGAATATTGAGGTTAAAACCTCTTCTGGGGCCCAGCAGGTGGCATGATGGTTAAGGTGCTTGACTTCCATGTGGTACATTTAAATAAATAATGTTGGGGGAGAGAAAAAAAAGGAAAAGAAACCTCATCATGCCTGCTCCTGTTCTCAGACCGTGATAGTCAGATATATGTGTCCTAGACAGGAGACTGGAGTATTTATCTCTGGGCTCGTTCACCAGCCAGGAGACAAAGCTTATAGATAATAACTTTTGGGGATCCCTTGATCCATCTTAATACTTCATCACCCTGCCGTAATCCTTGAGTATACAGGGACCAGCGGGTGGCGTGGTGGTTAAGGCACTGGACAATCCCACATGACTGACCAGGGTTCGAGTCCTGAATCTGGTGACTTGCCTTGTCACTTCCTCTCTCATTCACTCTTACCCTCTGATTCTCTCTGGTCAAACTAAAAAAATAAATGAATGAATAAATAAAATAAAATAAAATAAAATAAATAATCCTTGAGTATAAAATAGAACTTTTTCGGGACCAGCAGATGACATAATGGTTATGTCATAAGACTCCCAACATAGTCCACCACTGTTCAAGTCCCAGACTGGAGGCTTCAAACTCACGCTGCATGTACAGAATCCTGAGGAGAGAATGGAGGAGAAAGGATTGTGGTGTGGCCATCTTCCCTGGAGTGTTATTTCTAACTTTCTGTCCCTCCATCTTTCTTTATCCCTCTGGTGAGTGCACATGGCCTATAGCAAAAATCTTTCTCTCTTAAAAAAAAAAAAAGAACTTTTTCATGAGCTGAGGTAAAAGAGAATTGCTAGAATAATGCTAAAGTAAAGTCATAGGGCAGAACTGTGTAGGCAGTGTTTTATTAAAGAATTTGAGAAAGAATGCAATAGATACAGAGAAACCCAAGCAAACAAAAAATGAGGCAGTTATTCCAGGAAAAACAAATGGTTGTACAGAAGGAAAAATGGCTTAACTGTATACAGTATCCACTTGGTCATAATGAAAGAAATCACTGAATATTAATTTCACCAAAAAATGTCCTTTTAGCTGTTTTGGAGAGGAAAGATGTATATTGAGGCTATGCTTAAAAGAAAAAAAGTATATAGGGCCAGCCTACCAGCATGGTTGTAGTTAACTGAATCCTACATGGCCAGTTGTGCTGTTAGAGACCCAAGCTTGAAAAACAACCAGGGCTGGGGCCAGCGAGTAGCATGGTGGCTAAAGGCACTGGACTCCCACATGGCAGACCGCAATTTGAGTCCTGGACCTGGTAGCTCCCTTTTGCACTTTCTCTCGCTCGCTCGCTCTCTCTCTCTCACACTATCTGTCCCTCTCTAGTCAAATTAAAACAGATAAATAAAGTTAAATAAAATAATTCTTTAAAGAAAAAAGGAAGAAAAGAAAAACAACCAGGGCTATGTGTGTGCATGCCCAAAATCCTGAAAGGAGAGAGAAATAGAGAAGAAACTGTGGCATGACCATCCCTCATTGGGGGGAAGGAGTGTATTCTCATCCCCTCTCCCCTCTTTTGGACAAGCTTATGTGCCCTTTGGCAAATTAAAACATGTCTAAAACCATCATCTTTCATGAAGTTAGTAGACAATGTATAAAGCTGAGAAATCAACAAATAGCAATATGAACTTTTATCCGCAAATGATGAGAAAAATACCAGCAGAAATACTCATTTGAAAAACTTGCTGTGTATGTGTGCATGTGTGCCCCAAATCTCCATAGGATGAAATGGAGGACCATGACCACATCCCATTGGGGGTTGCTTTCTCCCTCTAGCTCTTTCTCACTGATTCTCTCTCTCTCTCTCCCTCTCTCTCTCTCTCTCTCTCTCTCTCTCGTTGAGTGCATGCACCCTTTGACAATTAAAAAAATAAAAAGGAATTTAAAATGATTCTCTGGGAGTGGGAATTAAAGATGGAAGGGTGTGATGGACAATGCTATTTTTTGTTAAAAGGGTTATAGAAGTATTTAACCTTGAAACTATAAATATATGAGTTAGGTAAAAATAGAAAGCACCTTTAAAATAAAGAAATCAGTAGAAAGAAGCCACAATAATAGAAAGGTGTAGATAGAAGAACATATCTATAAAGGTAATTGAGTCACCAAGAATGTGGCTATATTAGCAAGATTATGAGCAAAGAACTGAAATCTTAATTTAGGAAGAAGAATAAATGTTAATAAGGCATGTTAACTTTAAATAGTGTAAGTCTCGGGAACCAGCAGTTAGCATAATGGCTATGTCGCTGGACTCCCACGTAGTCGACCGAGGTTCGTGTCCCGGACCCGGTGGCTTAAAACTCACGCCGGGCGCGTGTGCGTGCGTGCCCAAGATCCCGAGAGGAGAATGGAGGGGAAGGGATGGCAACGTGACCATCCCCCCCGGGGGGTGATTTCTTGCTTTCTGTCTCTATGTCTCTCTCTGTCTGTCTGGCGAGCGCACGTGCCCTACAATGAAAATCTCTCCAAAAAAAAAAAAAAAAATAGTGTAAGTCTCAGAAAAGACACGCATAAAAGATTTTTACGAGGAGGCATAATGTCCTGAGATTCTGTCTAATGAGATTAGTTTCTGTTTAGAAAATACGTCATATACCATGCAAACTTTCCATGTGCCTACCAATATGTTTTTAATAAATAATCATTTGGGACCAATAGGTTGGCATGGCTATAGCACTGGATTTTCCACAGTGGCTGGCCACAGCTCAAATCCAGACCTGTTGGCTTGAAAAATCACACAGGGTACGTGTGTGCGTGTGCCCAAAAACCTGGGAGGAGAATGGAAGAGGGGAGATTGTAGTGTAGCCATCCCCCCGGGAGAAGATTTCTTACTTTCCCTCTCTCTGTTTCTTTCTGTCTTTCTCTGGTAAGTGCACATGCTCTATGGCAAAAAAAAAAAAAAAAAAAACCAGAAAATTTTAGAAGGAAAAAAAAATCATCTGAAAGTACATTGCATGTCATAGACATAAATCCTCCGTGTTAGTGTTATCATTGTTAGTCCAAGAGCCCTCTGTGAAAAACTAATGAGAAGATGAATAGTTCACTTTAAGAAAGCTTATTCTCTGTTTTTCTTAGTCAACCTTAGTCAATTTCTTGAAAGCATAGGTATTTGTGATAGAATTAGTTGAAGTTATGGATAAGATCAGCTCCAATGACTCTCAACACTGTAAGAAAAGATACTAATGGTGCTCCAATACTGATGCTAACTTATGAAGAACAGTATATAATGAGATAAATGTAAACAAAAATTTTAGAAAAAAGTTGAAAGTGTCATATATTTAATAAATGGCAAAATAGAAGCACACTTGTTAAAAAAAAAAAAAGGTGGTCTGCTGTTATGTTAAAAAAAATTTAGAATTTAGGTTTTTCCATTTCATATTATGTTGACTATTGGCTTACTGAATGTGACAGTCTGTCTGTTAATGTTGTGGTTTTGAAAGAATTTATTGGTGAAGTGCCATAAACTGCTTAGCTTTTTTTTTTTTTTTTTTCTGGAAAGGAATGAAAATAAAGATGCCAAATCACATGGCTTTTGGTTTTGTTTGATAAATTGCTACCATATCATATCATTTTTCTCTTTGTTATTTCTAAACTCTGCCAAGATAGAGAATTGAGAAGCTTAAAGATAGCTTTTCATTTAAACCTAAATATTATATATTTCTTCCTTTTCTACTGTTTTGCTTTCTATTCAGACTGCTTCAAAAATCATAGATAAAACTCTATACCTGGTAGGTTGGAGAGCGAAGAATTGGGATTTTTATAGATGATCTACCTGTAAATTGTAGGGAAGAGGTTGGTAAGTGAAATTGGGAAGATTATAGTTGTCTCTCTCTCTCCATGGAAGATTAGATACCAGAATCCATGGGTGCTTAAGTCACTTATAGAAATGGCATGTGTAGCATATGATATAAACTACATTCGTCTGCCCATATACTTGAAATAACTTCTACATGACTTAGAATACCTAAAGCAATGTGAGTGCTGTGTAAATAGTGATTATACTGTATTGTTTAGGGAATAATGACAAGAACATATCAGTACATGTTCAGTAGATAGTTTCTTTTTTTTTTCCTCAAATGTTTTTGATCCGTGTTTGACTCCATGGATGTGGAACCCATGGATATGGAGAGCCAGTTCTACTACTAGCAGGATTTTGAACTAGTTTTAATGGCTTACACAAAGGTGGTCCTGGTTGTAACTCTTGCAAAGTTGAACACAGATGTACCTCAACAATACAGGACACATTTTTCCTTTGTAATACTCAGGCACAGAGGTAGATAATCAATGTGATAATGAAATTAAGTTGATGCATGGAGAAAAGAAACCAGAGTCTGAGAGAGTTTCAGCATCACCTGAGTTCTCAATAGTCTATCTGAAAAGAAATGGGAAGCAAGGAATGGCTTGAAGAATGGTTGGTGTCACTAAAAGGCCTGATGGCCTGATTATTGCCCAGCAGAACATTTGCCTCATCACATTAGCAGGACAACATAAGGTGAATTCTTGGCCAGTATTGCTGAAATTCCCAGTGAAAGGAGAGTATGTTTTTTGTTGTTTTTTTTTTATCTTCAAATGACACTTTGATTGATTATTTTTTTTCCTTTTTCTGTTTTGTCTTTAGATCTTATAATCAATGGATAAAGTGGGGAAAATGTGGAATAACTTCAAATACAGGTGTCAAAATCTCTTCAGTCATGAGGGAGGAAGCCGCAATGAAAATGTGGACGTGAACTCCAACAGATGTTTGTCCATCAAAGAGAAAAACATCAGTATAGGAGACTCAGCTCCTCAGCAACAAAGCAGTCCCTTAAGAGAAAATGTTGCCTTACCCCTGGGATTAAGCCCTTCAAAGAATTCTTCAAGGAGAAACCAAAATTGTGCCACCGAAATCCCTCAAATCGTAGAAATAAGCATTGAAAAGGATAATGATTCTTGTGTCACTCCAGGAACAAGACTTGCACGACGAGATTCATACTCTCGACATGCTCCATGGGGTGGGAAGAAAAAACATTCCTGTTCTACAAAGACCCAAAGTTCATTAGATACTGATAAAAAGTTCGGAAGAACTCGCAGTGGACTTCAAAGGAGGGAGAGGCGCTATGGTGTAAGCTCTGTACACGATATGGACAGTGTTTCCAGCAGAACCATAGGAAACCGCTCTCTGAGGCAGAGGTTGCAGGATACTGTGGGCTTGTGTTTTCCCATGAGGACTTACAACAAGCAGTCAAAACCTCTCTTTTCCAATAAAAGAAAAATACATCTTTCTGAATTAATGCTTGAGAAATGCCCCTTTCCTGCTGGCTCAGATTTAGCCCAAAAATGGCATTTGATTAAACAGCATACAGCGCCTGTGAGCCCACATTCAACATTTTTTGATACATTCGATCCGTCTTTGGTTTCTACAGAAGATGAAGAGGATAGACTTAGAGAGAGAAGGCGACTTAGTATTGAAGAAGGGGTTGATCCTCCTCCCAATGCACAAATACATACATTTGAAGCTACTGCACAGGTTAATCCATTATATAAACTGGGACCAAAGTTAGCTCCAGGAATGACTGAGATAAGTGGGGACAGTTCTGCAATTCCACAAACTAATTGTGACTCAGAAGAGGACACAACCACCCTGTGTTTGCAGTCACGAAGGCAGAAGCAGCGTCAGGTATCTGGAGACAGCCATGCCCATGTTAGCAGACAGGGAGCTTGGAAAGTCCACACACAGATTGATTATATACACTGCCTTGTGCCTGATTTACTTCAGATTACAGGGAACCCCTGTTACTGGGGAGTAATGGACCGTTATGAAGCAGAAGCCCTTCTCGAAGGGAAACCTGAAGGCACATTTTTGCTCAGGGACTCTGCACAAGAGGACTACCTCTTCTCTGTGAGCTTCCGCCGTTACAACAGATCCCTGCATGCCCGAATTGAACAGTGGAATCACAACTTTAGTTTTGATGCCCATGACCCATGTGTATTTCACTCCTCCACTGTAACAGGACTTTTAGAACATTATAAAGATCCCAGTTCTTGCATGTTTTTTGAACCATTGCTTACCATATCACTAAATAGAACTTTTCCTTTTAGCCTGCAATATATCTGTCGTGCAGTAATCTGCAGGTGCACTACATACGATGGAATTGATGGGCTCCCTTTACCATCAATGTTACAGGATTTTTTAAAAGAGTATCATTATAAACAAAAAGTTAGGGTTCGCTGGTTAGAACGAGAACCAGTCAAGACAAAATAAATTCTCCTGTCCCCAAAGGGCATTACCTAGATCTGCTTTCATGTGCATCAGACAGTACACCTATAGCAAGCACACATATCAGTGCTAGGGTTTTTCATACAGTATGTAGGCTTAGTGTTGTTATCTGTCAGATGCGATTTGCTGTTACTCAGATAAATGTGGTGCCTATTGAAACTACAGAGGGTAGAGCTACAGGTGTCCAGTAAGGCTACAAAACCATCTTGCCAGTTTAGCTAACTGTTTAGTTTTTAATGGCTGTAGTAATTGAGTGAGGCAACTCTGGGGCATTTGCTATGAAGAATTCTATTTCTTACTGAAGAACAAATTATTAATATTGGATGAGTATTTCAACAGTGTGACTGATGTTTGAAATTATTTTTTCTAAGAGTTTTTCTATAATCTTCCAAAAGTAGTGATGTTTGTAGTTACTATAAGTCAAGCTTTGGAAGTCCAAAATAATAAAAGACTGCCTTCCTTTTAGAAAAATGCAATTTTCTGGCCACAAGGGCATAGTGCAGTTCACTTAAGTGTTGATGTAGTTTATAGTGAGTTTCCTTTTCTCTCCAGTAAAAGGTACCATTAAATAAACCAGGTTTTCTAACTAGTTCTTAAATTTTCATACTTAAAAAGTTAGTAGTAGTATTTTATTTAAAGGCCCTAGATACTAGTTTCTTGTTTTTGTTTTTGTTTTAACAAGTGCTCTACTTAAAACTGGCATTTGGAATAGCTGCTGCAATGTAGTAGTCTTGTGTGTGATTTTTTTTTTTTAAGTTGACGTGTGCAGTCTACTTATTCCATTAAAGTTGGATCTTTTCCTATGCCCATGATGAGATTGTGAACCATGAAGAAATGAGAGTAGATACCCAAACAGGTCAGATAATAGTAACTACAGTGGTTGCTAATCTTGAGATTATTGTTAAACTGTAATTAATAATTTGGACAGCAGTATTTATCTCTTCGTTGTAAACTTTCATAGCTCAATTGCTTAAATATAATTTATAGAATTTCACTGCAGTTAATTCTTAATGGAAAATCTGAAACCTAAATTACAGATTTAAAAGGTACTGTACTACCATCGTGTCTGTAAATAACCTTACTTAGCGCCTTTTCGGCACTTAGAATAGTACGTAATACTACTTGAGTGAGCTCTTTTGGAAGTAATATCGAGTTCTAGTGTTTGCTTCTTAGTATTGAGCTGAATTTACAGTTCTGTCCTAGACATTTTGCACTAAAGTAGCCAAATCTATTCTTGTGTCTTTTTGTTAATGTGCTCTGTACCACTGGTGAGTGCTCCTTAGTTTCCCTACCTGCTGCTACAGAATGTTATTTTATATCCCTGTGGCTATTGCCAAGGCTACAAAAAAGAAAAGCTATATTTGTATGCAACACTAATCTTTTGACTGCTAATGTATGTTTCTGCTTGCTGTGCCTTGTTATGGCTGCTTTTTTTGTGCTAATAAAGTATGTTTGGTGTTCTCCTTGTATATCTGCTGTTTTATACATTTGCAACAATTTCTCTTGTAAATGGAATGGTTTGGAGTTTTTAAAATAAGCATTACCTGATAACATACTATAGTTAATACAGACTTACTGTACAGTCTAATGTTGACTTACCAGAATAAGCTAACTAAATTTAATACTCTGCATCTTTCCAATTATAATCACATATACTGTGGAACAGTATCTATAGTTACTGCAAATTACTGTTCGGTTTAGGTTATAACAGAAAACAGAAAATTATAATTTCTCTGCTTATAAGGGAAAGATTGAAACTATTAAAGACATTATAATAAATGAATATCTGTAACCTCCACTGCGTCAGAAACAGGTTAAAGAAATCTTGTGTCAGCATCATTTGGTTTGGGGACCATTTTAAATTATAATAAAGGCCTAAAATGTAGATGTTTAACCAAAGAATTGTCCACTTTAAAATGGGAATTGAAGGGTACCGTGTCTGCACTCTATGACTGAAACTAATTGACTAAAGGATATAGAAACATATTATATAGATGTAAATACCAGATATAGTGTGTGTGAAAGAGGAGGGCCTAAAATGTAGATGTATAACCAAAGAATTGTCCACTTTAAAATGGGAATTGAAGGGACTTATCATTTCTGTTATTTACAATAGAAGTCCCTGAAGAAAATATACCAAAGTGTTTGAGAACTTCATCCAAACCTACTTTAAAGCATTATGTGCAATTAAGTTGTTATGACATAATTATATTGCATAATTGTTGGGTCCGTTTTCTTGAGCTTATAATGTATCTGGAAAATAACCTCTTGAGAAAAAAAAAAAAAAGAGTCCATACTGATTATTGGAGAAAGACTATATATGCAAGCAAGATTGTGTTTTAAAGAGGTAACTTGAAAATCCTAGAAAGCAGTTGATGTTTTTATATGCTTGTAGCAAATTGATGTTCTAACTGTAGTTTTATAGAAAGTATTAATGCTTTTATGTATTTCAGAACTTTCATATGTTAAATGGAAATTGTTTTAAATGTGTAACTATGAGTTTATGTAAGCATGTATACACTGTGCTAAAAGTCACATGTTTCAGTTTGTGTATAATATTAATATGAAACTTTTGGTTTAATTTTTTTTTCTTAAAAATATTAGTGGCTTATATTTGAAAAAAAGAAAAAATCACCAGCATGAAATTGCACCTAAGTCTATATTCACTGTGTCTTTTTCTGAATCCCATTGTAGCCTGTCCACTAAATTTGTGTTTTTACGGTCTTTTTTGCAGTGCATTATATATAAACTAGGAAATTCTTTAAAAGTCAGGACATATCTTCATAGTATAATAATTAACCCAAGGAAAGGACACTTTGATTCATATCCATTCTCACTCATTCATTCATCTCTCCCTTCCTCTCTAGATACTGTTTGTATCGCTCTCTCTGTATCTGTATATATTATGTTTAGGGATATAATGTATGTATGTATATACACACATTCATTTATACACATATACACACATTAAAAATTACAATGTTCATGTTACTTTAGACAGTAATTTGACATCTGATTTAAAATCACTTAGAAGCCTTATTCTATAGATATTACCTTTGGAGTATTATCATACATTCAGATTTTATTATCTGCACCTAAAGTTTAGCCTCGCTATTATAATTTTGCTTGTAATGCAGTTACCTTACAAAGAGAAAGAATTTATAACTATCTTCTGGCTAAACACAGTTTAAAATTTGAAGAAGAGGCAATGTTTTAGATACAGTTATTTAGAGTCATAATTAAATGGATTTTTAAGACAAAAATTAAGGCCAAATAATTATTCTCCATAAGCCAATCTATGTTATTATGGTCTCTTGGAAGGTTAAAAAAAGATTTATAATGACTTGAACCTGAAAAACTGTTATTTAAATTCTACACTTCATATTGACAGAATCCAAACTATTTTAGTTGACATTTTGCTCTGGTTGCTGTTCATTTCCATCCCAGTGTTTCCTTTGTTCATGTACTTGTACTCAACACTAATTTAGTAAGTTTCATTAAGACTAGTGTTAAATCTTTTATTTTTATGGCAAACAGCAAAAGTTGCTTTTTGGTAGACGTGAAGAGTCTCATGAATGAGTCAGGATCCTCCTAAGAGTGAGCCAAATCCATCTCTGAGGCTATGTTAATGTAGAACAAATCCCACCAGTGTGTCCACTTGTTTTGTATACCAATACTCAGAGTTTTAGATAAAATCCACACAAACTGTTGTCTTAAGGGTGAGATAAGTTTCTCTTTTTTTTTTTTTTTGAAAGGTTTTTGCTATAGGGTGCGTGCGTTCTCCAGAAAGACAAAGGGAGACAGACAGAAAGTGAGAAATCACCCCAGGCGGCGGGGG